CTTTCCCTCCAGTTCTCTACCCAAGCAGGTTCCGGCATGTCCGCACCTGGCCCCGCCTTCCCAGCACAGCATGTAACCACCACGTGTGGGCCCAGCCCAATTAAAGATGATTTTAGAAAAGCAAGCGACAGCTGCCCTCACCCCAACCTGTCCCCTTTTGTCTTCGATCAGTTTCTGCAGCCCGAGAACACAGGACGCTCTCCTGGGCGGCTGCACAAACCCGACGCAGGGCGGTACCTTCTTTGACGATGACGTTCACGGAGCTCTGGCTGCGCAGGTTCCGCTCGTCTCTGACGGTCAAGGTGAACACGTAGGTCCCCACCTGCAGCCCGGTCACAGTGGCCACGCTGCTGTTGGCGTTCTCCAGCTGCACCCCGTCAGGTCCCCTGGAGGACGAGAGAACCCGAGGGTGCGCTGTACCCGTCTGCTGCCCTGCGGCCCCAACGTGGCTCGCCTGGGCTGAGACCTGGACCACACGGGTTTAGAAATATTACAGGTGGAGAGACTCCCGAAATACTTGACAAGAAGCCATTTTAAATCTGAGGTGTGTCCTGGCGTGTTCGGGGAAGCGATGCTCTAAACTCCATCTTCTAGACTCCCGAAATACTCAGACAAGGTAGGGAGACCTCTGTCCTCCGTCTCTGTCTCTCACATGCTCTCTTTAATTAATTAATTAATTTTAATTTTTAAACCACTTCTCACCTCGGGCCTTTTCTTTCTCTTCCTAATTTCAGAAGCCATTTTAAATCTGAGGTGCCCTGGTGTGTTCATGCCGCGTGCTAGTGTGTTGAGCAATTTTCATTTTTTACCTCTAAAAAAATTGTTTTGCTATCTTTTTTGGTCATTTTTGTTGATTTTTTTCTTTTCCTTTTTCTTTTTTTTTTTTAATTTATTCATTCATTTTAATTTGACCAGAGCGAGACAGAGAGAGGGAGAGAAAGTGGGAAAGCAAGCCACGAGGTCCAGGACTTGAACCGTGGTCAGCCATGTGGGAGTGTCCAGCACCTTAACCAACACGCCACCTGCTGGTCCCCCCTTTTGCTTTTTTCTAACCTTACTTTTCCACTCTGCTCTTCACTCTCCACACAATGAATGTCTAGATAGGCCGAGGTGCACAGTACCAAGCATCCGAATACTTTTAGAGTCATTGAAATCCTTAACACTTATTGAACTTCTGCTTTAAGAAACTTCTTTTTATAAATCTGAACTCGTAATCACTTTCTGTGAATACCACATTGCAAAGCACAGTAGAGGAGAGATTTTGTCACGGAATGATCAGAAACCACCACAGAGGCACAAGAAATAGGAAAAACCAAGAAATTATCTCTCCCCTAAGGGACAAGAACAATCCCTCATCATCCACAGACAGTACAGTGGAACTCATGGAAATGTCTGATAGAGAATTCAGACTATTCATAGTGACAAAACTAAACGAGATGCAAGAGCTGAGAGATACTGAACACCAGAAGATGGAGGAGAAAAGAGAGGAGTGCCAGGAGGTGAGGAAGTTCTTGCACAATCTGAACAAGGACATGCACACCATAAAAAAGAATCAAATGGAGCTATTAGAGATGAAGGCTGCAATTCAGGAAATCAAAACTCCCTTGAAAGTATTAAAAGCAGAGTAGTCCATGCAGAAGATTGAATCTCAGGTATTGAAAGCAAAACCTCTGATCTAGAAAAAACAACCAAAAAAACTGAGAAAAATAACCAGAAAAAATAAAAATACTATATGAGAAATACTAGACACCATTAAGCGTCCAAACATCTGGATAACTGGTATCCCAGGAGGTGAAGAAACTAGTAAGGGCATTGATAACCTATTCCATGAAATCTTGGAAGAAAACTTTCCGAATCTAGAGAGGCATTCAAATGTCCAGACCCAAGAAATACAAAGGACCCCTAATGGAATCAACGCAAGAAGATCTCCTAGGCACATCATAGCCGAACTGGCAAAATCCACAAAGACAAGATACTAAAATTGGCAAGAGAGAAACGTCAGGTTACTTAGAAAGTTATCCCATCAGGCTAACCTCAGACCTCTCATGAGATACAATGCAAGCAAGGGAAGAATGGGAAAATACATTCAAAATGTTAAGTGAGAAACAGTTTCAACCAAGAATACTATACCCAGCAAGATTATCCTTCATATGGAAAGAAAGGATAAAAACATTCTCAGATAAACAAGACCTGAAAGAATTTGCCAATACTAGACCCACTCTTCAAGAAGTTCTGAAAGGAGTGCTCTATCAGGAAAACTACAGATACACATACAGAAATAAGAGAACAAAAAACAACCAAGAAAATGACCAATTTAGTGCTAGGGACAAGAAATACCAATAATAACATTAAATGTTAACTTCCGGGATTTCAATGGAAAGATTGGGCCACCGTAACACTGCAAATCCAACAGAAGAGAGATTGAACGTAAGACTGAACAGGTGAAATAGAATTTTATGACTTCTGAGTAAAACATTACTGATTTATTTTTACTATGCTTTTTTCCCCCAATTTAAGGATTTTGCTTCCTTTTGAGCTGTTAATAGGTTCAGCAATTTGTTAAAATATTTTTTCTTTTCGTGTGTTTCTTTAAATGGAAACAAACTTTTCTTCCTTCTTGACCCCTCTGAAATTGGAAAATGTTTGGGATTATCCTTATTTTGTGGCAGAAGCATTTTTGCATAAGTTCAAAAATACCTGTTGCATTGAATCAGAAATTGGAAATACTCATTATTGGACAAGGCTTTGACTGGACTGTCATATCTGAAGATTAATCAGGAACTATGGAACTAAAGTGGATCTCAAGTAAGCCAACGGAAGCTCTTGGAAAGATGGCCTGGCACCATGAACAGGTCTGCCTGGCACAGAGGGTTAGAGAAGCCATATGAAAGAATTCATACCATAACATAACCTGGACTTTTCCAGCCCAGCATTGTAATCAGTAGAGACTGCAAAGGAGCAACCACAACCAGAGGATTATCTTGATGAAGACTCTGGAGGATGAAAAAGAGACTGATCTTTGCTAGCAGACGGTATATCCAACAGAAATACTTGGCAGGCAGGACTGAACTCAGGAGGTTATGTGTGACTTGTGGGCTGGGCATTTGCTTTTAAACAGTTTAAGTAGTGGACATGTAAATATTCTCTCAAAAATATTTCAAACCATACTGTCTCTGTTATTATAGAGTCACAAACAAAATGATAACAAATATTTTGAACATTATCTTTAAAATTCAGTTTTTTGAAATTTTGAAAGTTGCTTATTAACTGTCAAGAACTATGGAGTATGAGCAAAAATTTTTTGAAATGTAAAGTAAATGTTTGTGGGGAAATGTAAAAATAAATAAATAAATGGTTTTTTAAAAATAAAAGAAATATTCCAGGTGGACAGAGAGTCACTTGCCCCCAATTACAGGCTACCTGCTTGTCAGAAACCTCTATTCACCAACACGAGTAGTCTGACTTATCCTCACGTGAGCTTCTGGAACACTGAAACTCTTCCCTGTCCAGTATGCAAGAGGAAGAAAGTTCCTTGAGCAGGTCTCTGATCAAAAGTGATTTGAGAGTCAGGTTTGTGGCCGGGCGCTGGCTCACTCTTGCCAGCGAGGAAGCCGCATGCCCTTCCTCAGCACAGGCCCAGTTCCCTTCTGAGGGAGGGAACCTGGCCAAGGTGCAGAAAACCACCGCCTTCACAGCTCTGTAAGTAAAGCTCCCTCTGGCGCCTGGGCAGGGGACACCCCACATCCTACCTTCTCCCACAGCAGGGAAGGGAGTCCCGCACCGACATCTGACATCTGGGCACAGGCTGCGGGCAACCACAGAGCCCTTCTGCTTGAGGGCCAAATGCCCCAGACCTTTCCTTAAGCTACAGGACAGCCAGAGAGGTCTGTACATAACCAGACTTTGCTTTGTTTTTGCTTTTTAAACTTAGAACTCCTGACCCCAGTAGCTCCTCCTGAACAGATTCCCTTCAGGCAGCTACACCAAGCATTATTTCTGCTGTAAACACGAATAAAACTCAGCTCAAAGATTTATCGGCCGTATCTTCAATAAACAATTCTAATTAAAACACACTGGGCTGAGGGAGATTATGTTCTCCAGATAAAAACAAGAGCTGAGGAATATAATTTCTAGAATCCAACTCAGCAACGGTAAGTCAGGCAGCTTTTACAGTCATATTAAAGCCCCTTCCATCCATTTCTAATGCCCTAGTTAAAACAAATCCAAAAAATAGAAAGCCTATTCTGTCCTGTGGTTGCTACCTTTGGAAACAGAATACTTTGAACTCTCTGGTTTTTGGAGAGATTTTTGCTATAGGGCACGTGCGCTCACCAGAAAGACAAGAGAGACAGAAAGCAAGAAATCACCCCCCAGGGGGGATGGCCATGCTGCAATCCCTTCTCCTCCATTCTCCTCTCGAGACCTTGGGCACACATGCACACGCGCCCGGCATGTTTATGCCACCAGGTCCGGGACTCAAACTGCAGTCGACTACATGGGAGTCCAGTGACATAGCCATTACGCCAACTGCTGGTCCCAGAATACTTTGAACTCTTCATTGGATTCCTGCTTCTGATGGAATACTTATGGAATACTCAAATACTTAATTTGAGTTCCATTTATTATGGTTTAAAGGAGCTGAAAGAGATTGTGAGAACCAGGGATGGTTTGATCAGCTAATTTCAGTTTAATTAGTATTATTTTGGTTATTGCCTTTGGCCTCTGGCTAACTGAGGTGGTAAATGGTGTCTTTAAGAAAACAATAGCAGAGGAATGCTTTCACTTTCTAGATAAATTTTCGATTCTTCTTAAGAGCCTCTCTGCCCCATTCTCCTGCTAGCCTTACCCAGTTAATTCTGAGCAACAGTATTTTTCTGCTCCATTACCCCTTCCATCCTGCCTCTCAGGTGTAATTAAACTGTGCATTTCAGCAGATGGATTGTACCTACGAACACACCAGGACCACACAGTACCACAGTACTACTGTGTGGGGGACTAGCTGACTGTAAGCATTCTCTTTTTCTTTTTTCTTTTTTTTGCAGGTTTTCTTACAGGATGTGTGCCTTTGCCAGACAGAGAGAGAAAGTGAGAAATAGCCCCCTGGGGGAATGGCCACACTGCAATCCCTTCTCCTCCATTCTCCTCTTGGAATTTTAGGCACAGGCACACGCACCCGGCATGATTCTCAAGCTGCTGGGTCCGGGACTCACACTGTGTAGTCGGCCATGTGGGATCCGGTGCCTTAACCTCCATGCCTCCTGCTGGCCTGGCCCAGCATTCTCTTCTTCTTACAAAAATGATGTAGAATACCTTTCTTAGAACTGGAGTCTGGGATTACGAGCCTTTCATTCCCAATCACCCCCCGGGAAGCTGGTAAGAGCAAGTCAGTGTTCTTGTCTTTGTTTTTACTATCTCCAGAGGTCACGTGTGCTAGCCAGGGCGAGAAGCAGAGCAAGTGAACGTAAAGCAAATGGAGCCACGTTCTCCCGAGCACGGCATCTGCACAGAGACGCGCGTTTTGTGCCAATACTCACTGTGATTTCTCCCAGAGATACGAGACGATTTTCTGGTCATCTGTGCTTTTGCTGCCATCCAGGGTGGTGCTGTCCACAGGGAGGGTCAGCTCTTTATCTGGGCCTGCATCTGCCTGCGGAGGCTTGTTGTTTTCTGGAAGACAGATCTGGAGGTCAAAAGCAGCCAGTGCAGGGGGAGAAGAAGTGGAGCCAACTGGGACATGTTTTCTGGAAGCCATGAGAGTTCTGCCTCTCAGCGCCAGGGTGGTCAGATGCCACGGGAGACCGTGGATACCATCAGGCAGCGCACGACGGAGACTCCTGACATGCGCGCCATAAAACACCGAATAATCCCAGAGAGACGTGGCAGAGCGTAGCCAAGCTACAATGGCAAACGTGATCTGACATCTCATGCCACAGGAGTTCTCAAGAAAGGGTTTGAATGGCAAGACAGGGCTTTCCTGAGGAAGTCAGTTTAAGCTGGTCCTTAAAGGACCCGGTAGGATTTGGGATGGCACAGACCCTGTCTCCTAGGCCCCTACCAGGCACAGTAGCAGTCCAGGGAAGGCCCGAGCATGGGCTGGCAAGGAGCCTCGTCATGAACAAAGCCCGAGTGGCACAGACAGGACAACGGAAGTCACTGGGCTCTGTGGACGGCGCCTTCTGCTGCTACCTCTATAGCTCAGACCCAGACTCTCCTCTCCCCAGGTAAAGGGTCTGAACATTGTTCACTTCCTCTTCTCAGGTAAAGGGCCTGACCCCCTTGTCATTGCTCACCTCCTCTCCCCTCACCTCCTCTCCCGGGTATAGGGCCTGAACCCCTTGTCATTGCTCACCTCCTCTCCCGGGTATAGGGCCTGAACCCCTTGTCATTGCTCACCTCCTCTCCCGGGTAAAGGGCCTGAACCCCTTGTCATTGCTCACCTCCTCTCCCGGGTAACCGGGCTAAAGCCCTTGTCATTGCTCACCTCCTCTCCTCGGGTATAGGGCCTGAACCCCTTGTCATTGCTCACCTCCTCTCCCCGGTAAAGGGCCTGAACTCCTTGTCATTGCTCACCTCCTCTCCCCGGTAAAAGGACTGACCCCTTTGTTGTCGGCGCTCACCTCCTCTCCTGGGTAAAGGGCCTGAACCCCTTGTCAGCACTTACCAGGCTGCACGATGACCGTCACTTGGGCGGTGGCCTGCTGCCCGATCGTGTCCGTCACTGTGAGCTGGTAAGTATAGTCTCCCTCTTGCATTGCAGAGAGCTGCAGGGTCGGTGTTCTAACGCCCTGTACACACGTAAACACACAAATGGAAGCATCGGTTCCAGGGTCACAGCTGCACACAGGAATTCCTTCCCCAGTAGAAACAATTTATCCAGTTTTCTAAACCCAAGGTGGACTGGCTATTAAACCTCCGTTTGGCAGAATCGGTACATGTTGAACCAGGCGTCATAAGACGTGCTCAACTTTTCCTCTCCAAGGAAACAACTCGTTCTGACCGGCAGCAATTTCAAATAAAGCCAGAGCCCTCATGGGGGGAGGGGGCACCTGGGAAAATGTGCAGAGATGACCTGGGCCAGTCTCTATGACCACACCAGAAAGAACATCATGACATGATCAAATGACATGGTTTAAGAACTCTGTCTAAAAAGCTCTTCCGTTTTTACAGTGATCCTAACAAAGCTGTCTCAATAAAACACAGCAGAAGGGACCAGTAGATGGCATAATGGCTATGTCGCTGGACTCCCGTGTAGTCCATCACAGTTTGAGTCCCGGACCCAGTGGCTTAAACTCACACCAGGCGCGTGTGTGTGCGTGCCCAAGATCCGGAGAGGAGAATGGAGAAGAGGGAAGGGACTGTGGTATGGCCATCTGCCCTGGCGGGTGATTCCTCGCCTTTTTATTTATTTATTTTTTTTGGGCAGCAGGGAGGAGAGGTTTTTGCTATATAGTGCATGCACTCGCCAGAAAGACAAAGAGAGACAGACAGAAAGTGAGAAATCACCCCCCAGGGGGGATAGCCACGCCGCAATCCCTTCTCCTCCATTCTCCTCTCGGGATCTTGGGCATGGACGCACACGCGCCCAACCTGAGTTTAAGCCACTGGGTCCGGTAGCCATTACGCCATCTGCTGGTCCCATAATTTCTCGCTTTCTATCTCTCTGTCTTTAGGGCGAGCACATGCGCCCTATACCAAAAACCTCTCCAAAAATAATAAAACACCAGCAGCAACTTGCGATGCTGTGGCACGTATCACAGGCCGCGTGGACGCTGCATGCAGGATCCAAAGCCAGGTACCGTGGGCTTTCAGCCATGCCTCCGATCGAGCAATGGAGATTCTCATGTCAAGGTCTCGATCTTGTCACCCCTGGCAAAGCTGGGCTGCTGTGCACCGTTGGACCACGCTTCCATGTGGAAGTGCCAGAGGAGCCAGAGAGCACACGATGCTGGGCAGGGTGCCCGCTCTCTGGGCACAGAGCCCCATCCAATTTTCATTTACTGATGTTACCGGCCTGGTGACAGACCTAGCCTCTTCTGAAAGGCCTCCAGGGACGAGATACCCATCATCAGTCGGATGTTCTCCTCCGGTGCGTAACAGAGCCGCTGAGGTCTGCACCCACGCTGCTGTAACTGACTGGGGAGTCATCCCGACAACGGATGCTTCTCAGCCAGCCTTTTCCTTTCATACCAAACATTTAAGGTCAAGATTTCTGTGAACATGTTCATTAAAGGCCCTAAGAATTTGTGGATTATTTTTTTTCCAATCTAAGTGTCTCCAATCTAAATGTTTTTGTTTGTTTTTCCCATTTAAATGTTTCATGCACAGATCTGGCTTTGGTAATTAAAATAGAGCAGAGATAAGCCTTGGACTAGGTGACCCAGCCCAGCAGCTCGACCTCCCAGGGTGAGACAAGATGGGACCTTGCCCTCCTACCTGCATCTCTACCACTTTCCCTTTGCTGCTGGGGCTGAGAGACCACTCGTAGCTGGTGATGCCATGATCATCCGTGCTCTGGTTCCCAAAGAGCGTGATGGAGTTCTGGGGCAGGGTGATGACTTGGTTGGGGCCTGCGTTGGCCACAGGGGGGTAATCCACGGCTTTGTTTACGGTCAGGCTTGCAGTGGTGGAGTTGGTAGCTCCATCGGAGTCCACGACAGTCAGGCTACCAGGGCAGAGAGAACGCAATCAGAAATGGGCTTCAGAAGGAGGAAATGCTGGAGGACTGTAGTCAGGGCGAAAGGTTCCATGGTGGCCAGTTACGGCTCCTGCCATCCCCCTGGACACAAGAGGGCAGAGAAAGATACCCCAGCTAACAGTGATGGGGGTTCCTGAGTGCCAGACAACAGCCCAGGTGCTTTCGATCCATTCACTCCTTACAGCGGCTCTACGAGTGCCACCCTCGTTTTCCTCATGTACATGAGGGGACTGAGGCTGATGGAGGAGAAGCAACTTGCCCAGGGTCATGCCACATAAAGGCAGTGGGTTCAGGATCTTCAGGATCCAAGTCCAGGCGATAACCCCAGCCCCACACCACCCTGCTGCCTGGGCACCTCTGTGTGCCGAGGGCTGTGTAAGCGCTGTCTGCTGCGGCCCTCACCCAACACAAAGAGCAGGTAGCGCTGATTCCACTTTGCAGGAGGATTACGGAGGCTGCGTAACCTGCCCGGGGCCACACAGTGAGCCAATGTGGGCTTGGTTCTCTGATTCCAAAGCTCAGAAACCACATCCAAAGAAGCGATCAATTGGGGGGGAGGGGCAGCAGGTGGCATGGTGGTTAAGGCACTGGACTCCCACATGGCTGACTGCAGTTGAGCTCCAGACATAGCAACTGGAAAATCACACTGGGCATGTGTGTGTGTGTGTGTGTGTGTGTGTGTGTGTCCAAAAATCCTGAGAGGAGAATGGAGAAGGTATTGTGGCATGGCCATCCCCACTGGGGGGTGATTTCTCACTTTCCCTCTCTCTGTCAAGCAAACATGCCCTATGGCAAAAAGCAAAAAGAGAGAGAGAGAGATCGCCCTGGCCCCTGTTCCTGCAAGCGCAAGACACCAGTGAATATGCGAGCTCTGTCTGCAGCCGGCTGTCCTCCCGTCACCCTGCGGTGCTGTGTCCATGTCGCGAGAACGGACCTCCTGGGCAGACAGCCTGGGATGGACCGGGAGGGCTGGCTCTGGTAAGGCAGGAGCTTGAGATGGAAATGAATTCTCCCACGCGACAGCCCCACAGTTTGTGCCAGTAAGAAATAGGATTTGCAAGAAAAAAAATGTTCTTTTATAAGAACAAGATTTTACCTAAACGATGCCTTCCAGCTGAACAGCCTTAAGCTTCTCATGCCACCTCAAGATGTGAACATAAGCAAGAAGGAAGGTTTGGGTTCCTTCCATTTTGCTGACAGAAAGGGAAAGCAAAGAAAAGACGAGCAGCTCGTTTCATCTCACCAGCAGCCACAGGCCGAGACAGACGTGTGTGGGTTTATCCCACAGCCTCACCTCTCACCTATGGCCTCAATGGGATTTTTGGTGTTACAGCCTATAGGAAAACACACCGAAACTTCAGACCCACATACATGTACAAATCAGCAAATATCTGAAAAAGAAAAATTCATATCGGGGGCCCAGCAGGTGGCATGGTGGTTGGGGGCGCTGGACTCCCATATGACTAAAAACGGTCGAGTCCTGGCGGCTTTCTCTCTCTCTTTCTCTCTCTCCTGTTCTGTCCCTCCCTCCCAAAATTAAAATTTTAAAAGTCAAATAAAATAGTTTAAACAAAGAAAAGAAAAATTTGCATTGGGCCAGCCCCTTGCCTAGGGGTTAAAGGAGTCAGCTCCTGGGACCAGCCGGTGGCGTGGTGGTAAAGGTGATGGACACTCCCACATGGCCGACCACGGCTCAAGTCCTGAATCTGGTGGCTTGCTTTCTCACTTCCTCTCTCTCTCTCTTTCTCTGTCTCTCTCTGGTCAAATTAAAATAAATGAATAAATAAATAAAATTAAATAAATATTAAAAAAAAAAAAGGCGGCCAGCTCCTACAAGGCTGACTGCACAGTTCAGATCCTGGCCCCAGTGACTTGAAAAACATGCTGGGTGTGTTGCATGTGTGCCCCAAATCCCCAAAGAAAGGCGAAATGGAGGAGAAGGAGTGGTGATGTAACCACGTCTCACTGAGGGGTGCTTTCTCCCTCAATCTCTCTCTGGAAAAAAAACATTTTTTTTAAGTTAAAAAATTAAATCATAGAAGTTTTGCCCCTTTTCCAGTTTCCCTCTTGTTTGCACAGGTCTGTTGTTTTTGCTTGTTTTTAACACATCCTGTTTGCCTCCTATGTCAGAACCAAAGCATGGGATGGGCAAAAATGGCAGCTGTCCGTTACTGACTTCCACTTGCTGTCCTGGCTTGCCATCAGTGGCAGCTGGCTAGGGGTCAAGGGCAGGCTACTGCCACCAGGAGACACGGAAAATGAGAGTGGATCACCGCCACGTTGGACCTTCGTGCCAATCAAATCCAATCCCATCATCTCAGAGAAAAAAAAATGGGGGTCAGGAAAAAAGTCCCTCCCAGAACCTCTTCCACCCAGGAAACGCGGGCTGCCCTTGTGGTTTAAAGCTCAGACCAAAGTCAGACTGCTGTGTGACCTCGGGGAAACTGCTAACTTCTCTATGCCATGATTTCCTAATTTGTGAAGTGAGAATGACCGTGAAACATGTTATAAAAATTAAGTGACATGGGACCAGGTGGTGTGGCGGTGAAGGCGCTGGACACTCCCACGTGGCTGACCGCAGTTCCAGTCCTGGACCTGGTGGCTTGCTTTCTCACTTCTCCCCCCGTCCCCCGTGTGTGTGTGTGTGTGTGTGTGTGTGTGTGTGTGCTGTGTGTGTTGCTCCCTGGTCAAATTAAAATAAATAAATGAATAAATAAAATAAAATTAAAAATAATTCTTAAAAAAAGTTTAAAAAATTTTTAAAAAAGAATTAAGTGAGATACTGCAACAAAAAATCTTAGAATGGTACATAGTGTACAGGAAATAAATATTCAAAAATATTCGCTATTAGTCTTACTTTTTTCTTTTTTTTTTTTTTAAGAGAGATTTTTTGCTATAGGGCATGTGCGCTTGCTTAAGGACCAAAGAGACAGAGAGGCAGAATGTGAAAAATCACCCCCCCCTCCCAGTGGGGATGGCCATGCCACAATCCCTTCTCCTCCATTCTCCTCTCAGGATCCTGGGCATGAACACACATGCACCAGGCATGAGTTTCAAGCCACCAGGTCCGGAACTCAAACCACGGTTGACTATATGGGAGTCCAGCGATGTAACCATTATGCCAACTGCTGGTCCCTCTTGTTTTTAAAGACAAGGTCTTGCCATGCTGTGTCATCCTCCTGCCTCAGCCTCCCTGATGGGACCACAGGTATGCCCCACCATGCCCAACCCGTTTTTGGCAGAGTCTCACCATGTTTCCCAGGCCAGCCTAGAAACCAGATCCTCCTGCCTCAACCTCCCGAGTTGCTGGGATTAAAGGTCTGTGGCACTGTGCCCAGCCTTAGGTTAGGTCCAAAATCAAGCCCAGGCCTCCCATGTGCTCCCAGCCTATGGAGCACAGTGTCTCAGCAGCGTGTCCACCGCGGCTTATTGTTACTGTTTATAAGGATCAACCTCACTCAGGCTAAATTCTATAAATGGAAAAACCCCTTTATTAGCAATCCAAGTAAAAGCCAATTCCGATTTCCATTTTAAAACCATGTCAGGGCCCCTCTGTCCTTCCCCTCCTCTTTCTTTCTTCCTCTTCTTTCCCTCTCCCCCAATTGATCAATCAACCAATAAGTGTTTTAAAAAAAATGTTCTAGGGCACTAGTGGTTAAGAGAGCCAGATCCCACACGGTCAACTGCAGTTTGAACCCCAGCCCTGGCAGCTTGGAAAGCAAACCAGGGGCACAGGCAGGCACGCCCCAAATCCAGGCGAGATGGAGAAGTGGAGAAGGGATTGCAGAGTGGCCATGCCACACTAAGGGGTGTGTTCTCCTTTTCTCTCCCTCTTAAGAACACATGCCCTCTGGCAAATTAAAAAGAAAAGAATAATCTGCACTTAAGGTCCAACTGTGTGACCTCAGAGAAATGACTAAGTTCAGGACCCTGATTTTTTAAAAAATTATTTATTTATTATTTATTCATTTGTTTATTTAAATTTGACCAGAGAGAGACAGAGTGAGAGAGAGAGAGAGAAAGTGAGAAAGCAAGCTGCCAGGTCCAGGACTCGAACCACGGTCAGCCATGTGGGAATCCAGTGCCTTTAACCACCGTGCCACCTGCCGGCCCCCAGGACCCTGATTTTTCTCGGCTGTAAAACGAGGCAGTATCGTGTACATGTCTGTATGCCATCCGTGCATGAGTCCCTTGGAACATGCAGGGAGTGACGCAACCATGAGGGGGACCACCCTGGGTCAGCGTTAGTGCCTTTTTAATCACATTCTAGAATGCTGACATTAGTTCCCAAAAGGACTTTCTTTAAACCAAATCCTCCAAAAGCCCCAGTGAGAAAGATTCTACAGACCCCGCCAGCACTGGTCGAAGCAAAGAGGCCGAGTAGCCTACACTGAGAAGCATTCCCCAGAGGGAAGAGACCCTTGTGATTTTACCGAGAAAAGGCAAAGGAAGATGGACCCTTTCACTTCATGAGAGAAACCCTAAAACACGTTTTGGAGATTTGCCATGTAAGGCTTTGGGAAGGAGGAGCCGCGGCAGATCCTGATCTATGATGCCAGGACCTTTACCCTGAAAGGTTCCCACGCTACAGTCTCGATCGCCACAGGGCTCAGAGAATCAACGGGACCCAAAGGCTCCATCAGCAGCCAGCTCCACGGTGGATTTCGTATTCGTCAGAGTTACTCCTATGAGAACGTAAATCCCATGGCTGGCCCTGTAGCGCCGTGGTTAGTGCAGGACAGAGAAAGTCGAATCCCATGTGGCCAACCAGAGTTTGAGTCCTGGCCCTGGGGGTTTAAAAAACACGCTGGGTGCGTGTACACACATGCCCAGGGTCCTGACGAGATGGAAAACCAGAGTAAAAAAGGACTGCGGCATGGCCATTGCTGAATGAATGAGGGGACTCCTGCTCGCTCACTCTCTCTCACTCGCTCGCTCGCTCACTCTCTCTCGCTCTCTCTCTCTCTCTCTCCACACAGGCCAACTGCCATTAAACAAAAAGAATGCAAAACTCTTAAGAGGAAAAAGATGATTTACAGTAAGCTTGAAGCTGAATCCTAAGTTACCTGAAAGTATAGTTCCCAGGAACGAGCTTGCTTAGTTTTAATATGGCCGTGTCTTCAGAAATCTTCTCTTCTCTCAGAGGCCCCTTAAGTTCCTCCCAGTGGTACTGGACGATTTTATCATCATCAGTGCTTTCTTGACCATAAAGAAACATCAGTTACACAGGAGAAGGGTGGTTCTCCACACTGATCCAGCGTTCACAAACCGAGCCAATTACGGAGGGCCTTGAAGCGAGGAAAACTCCATGGAACTACAGGCTATTGCTCCAGTGTCTCTTCCCTAGAAATGTTGGGTCATTCTGCCCCTCTGTGAATATTCCATTCTGTCATTTTCCAAGGACTCTCACAGAGACAACCTCTGGTGTAGGGCCAGCCTCACGGCCTAGTTGTTAAGAGAGCCAGATCCCACATGGCCAACCACAGTTCGAATCCCAGACCCAGAGGCTTTAAAAACATGCTGGGTGTGTGTGCATTCCCCAAATCCCAACGGGATGGAGAAACGGAGGAGGAGATGTTGCAGTGTGGCTGTGGCCCACTGAGAAGTTCGTTCACCCTCTCCCCCTCTCTCGGGAGAGTGCTCATGCGCTCTGGCAATTAGAAAAAGAAGAAAAAATATTGCTACTGTGTGAAAAAAGGAAAATCAATGATTCTTAAACATGCCGCACACACACACAAAAATACTCTACATCACTTAAAAGAAATGCAAATTAAGCCTATGAGACTGGTAAGGACCAAAGTTTCATAACAAATTTTACAGGTGAAGATGCAGCGAAAGAGGCCTCTCTTTAGTCATGGCAAAGGTGTAAACTAACACAGCCTCTATGAATGGGGACTGGGCCACATTCATCTTTGCCCTGTCACCTCTTTGTGCAGGAGTTCATCCCACAGATACACGTGCACATTGTTAAACATCATATTTACATGGTTAGTGATGGTAACAGCAACAGAATGAAAGTGACCTGAATGGCCCTCAGTACGGAGCGATGGAAAACAGGGCCCACTCGTACACGGACCTGCCCATCCCTATCATGGGATGCTATGTGACTTGAAAAGGGCAAATAAGCATTCCACGTATCGATTCAGAAAAATTCTCGACATATAAAAACGACCATCACGCGTGACAGGAACATCACACATGACAGCATGTGTGATGTATTAATCGTGTGTAGAGGGACTGGAGACTACATGTGTTTTCTTACATATGCATAAATACCTCCCGAAGGATACACGAAATGACAGTACTACGGGCAGCCCGGAGGAAAACGGGACCGTTGCGAGGCAGGAATGGAGATGCTGTTCACTGGGTACGCGGTTCCCTATCGCTTATTTTGACCCATCCAAAACAACAAGTGAAACTGTGCCAGAGGGGCCCTTTCTATCCCAGTGCTTCTTCCTGCTCTCTGTCTCCTCTCGGCCTGATACTCTCCCAGCCTCCTCTTGTCGCCAGTCACTGACATCAAATGCTCACCCGCACTGGTGGCCCCTGATAGAGGGACTGATGGGGAACAGGGCTTAACAGGTCTCCAAAGAAAAGCAAGTACTGAAACCTCGCGTACACACGCCAGGACCGAGGGCGAGGATCCAGAAGTCCTCTCCTGTCACTCCTCAGTGACTCCACTCAGAAGTAATGTTAAGGAGCCCAGGCGGGTGTGGGGTACACTCTGAGTCTCTCCAGGAGGAGGCGACAAGAATCTTGTTGGGCAGTGGCTGGGGAAAAGCGTCTCCCAGGCCTCAGTCACTCATCTCGCTATGACAGGAAGAAATTTGGTTTTCTTAACTAGGAAAGGCAACTCCATCTAAGCGAATCTGAAAAGCAATGAAATAATGCTAAATACATGCATGCTCGCACTTTCTTACCATCTGGGGGCAGAAAGATTACTTCAAACAAGCCACGGAGGGCTTTTAAGTAGGGCCTGGCGGGTTTGCTACGTCCTACTCGCTGCGGCAGATGGCTGTGTCCCCGTAAAGCGGTTGGAAGACTGGCCTAGCTAGGACGTGGACATGGCTGGCCCCAAGCCCCCTACCGAGAGCACGGTGGGCTCTCCCACTGTGAGACC